GATTTGGTTCGGATTCTGAGTCGGAGTGTAGCTGCTCATCGTGCAGCTGTTCGTTTTCGAGCAGTGACAGCGAAGGAAGCACGTCTTCTGAATCGGACTATGGCAACAACCCTGGCACGGGTGACATGGGCATGAAAAGGCCCTCTACCCAGATATCTCTGGATGCATCGGTCCCTCTTGCGGCGCCCATGGACCTATCCGCAGTTGCACCGGTTAGCCATGTCGGTGTCAACCTGCCTAAGCCAGTTGGCATGAGTGCGATCCACAAGGAGCGTCAAAACGAAGACACGACCTGTAGCTCCAATGGGGGTGCCGGCCAGCAAGGGCCAGAGACTGACATCCCTGGCTCGCCGCATAAATCCACATCCGAACCAAAGGCAGGCGAAGATGCGGAGCTTGCCAGGTCTGGTGAGGAAGAGGAGCAGGCATTCCTGATCCTGAGTAAGCCCGGTGGACGGTTTGTGCCAATTGATATGGTTCGAGGCCGACTGCTGTCGACGGTAGAACCGCCACCGGTCCCAAGGCCGTCGGATACTGGTGGCAACGTGACCCACATGATGAATATCGACACCAGCGACTCGCTTCGCGGACTGCAAATGTCTGCGGCAGCAGACCTCTACATGCAGCAGTATGCTGGTGTTGACATATCAACTCTTTCAAGCTCATACTTTGGCAGATCGTCTAGCTGGCATAGCAACAGCATTGTGTGGCCGACGAACATTCCAATCGCCTCGTATAACTCCACCGGTAACCCGATCGACCGCAGCATAGCCCATGCTTCGGGCGATGGTCCGGTGCCAAAGTCTCAGCGCAGCCACCCATCGCTTGCCGATAAGACCACCCCTATTCCGGCACATCCTGCAGGCGATGACTCGAGCGTCCCACCAACACCGAGTGATAGCGGCAGCTTCGTCAGTGTCAACATCGCCCACCGCGTGCCCCACGATGTGGGCAGCGTCGGCAGTATGCTTAGTGGCCAGCCAGGGTCGCGTCGGTCGCAGGTCAGCGGTGGTGCGCAGTCATATTTCAACTCGGTTCAACCAATGAGTGGTGGAGCGCCCTCTGCTTCTGGGATCCGCCCAGCCCGCGGCATGTACCGCGGCAGCAACGACGGCTATCGCAACTCCTCTGGCGGCAGTGTCGGTCTCAATTCTCTCTATCTTCGTGGAGCTGCAACCAGCGGCAGCGCGACGCCAGTTGGGACCAACGCATATAGCCGGATGGTGACCTTGGGAGCAGCTGGTTTGCGCGGCTACATTGGCAATCCGACAAATCGCCAGCGTAACAGCGGCAGCTCGAGCGTTCACTACCGCGGAGATGACAGCAGCCTTTCCTCGGGAATGCACACGCTCAACTCTGCGTACACTGCGTCGCGCGGCTACAGCATGGGGTTTGGATCGAACACGGCGTCAGGTGTGGTGCTACGCGACAACCTTCCTATCGTGCCTTCTACCCCGTCGAACATGGCAGCGGGTCAGTCGCTGGTGAGCGGTACAGACCGCTCGGCAAAGCATCGGTTGGAAGTGGCGCGCCAGGGTGCAAAGGGTAGGCGCGGTAGCTCGTCGATCCCGACTGTCGCCTCAGCATCTCCGCAGAAGGGGCAGCATATTTCTCGATACAGCCCATCGTTCGCTGGGTGGTCGGCTAGCTACAAGGAAAGCAGCATACTCAGCACCATTCGGGACCAGGACGACACCGATGAAGCTGAGAGAGGCTGCGCACCAGAGCATGACACTAGCAAGTCAGATGTTGGTGCTCGTGGTACAGTTGCGGCTACCGGCAGCAGTGGTCGCAAGGTACCCCCTGGCGCCTTGCCCTCAGACCCCCTTTCCACGCCCGTAAAGGACCCGTACACGAGTCCGTTTGGAGATGAGTCCGGTCGAAGCTACTGGCAGCACACCGAACCGCAATCTGTCCGCTCACATTCGTCGCTGGGCACCGGCACAAGCGCGCACCAACTGGCCATGGGTGGAGAGAAGGAAGAAGAAGTAGAGGATGCGCCCCAGCCGATGGAAGCCGACGTGGCAACGTTCATGGTCGGCGGTGTGTCGACTGGAAAGCGTAAGCGCGCTATCCTCGGCTCTATTACCGGCGATAAGATGCCTGCCGATCCAGAAACTGACGATGTCGACGAGCAAGAATCCAACCAGCTCGTTGCGCTGGTGACCATGGACGGCATCATTAACTGCTACGACCCCAGGCGCAAGACTAACCACTTCCTCTGCCTCAATTCACGGGACCCGGTTCTGGGCATCTGGAAGATCAAGATGCACGAGGAAGTGTGTAACCCGTCGCCGCTGGAGACTATGGCTCGCATTGCCAATGTCGACTTTGACTTGGAGGCTGGCGACGAGTTATTGGCAAGTACCCCAGCCAAGCGCATCTACCGCCGTGTTGGTCTGTCTCGTCGCGACCTGTACCATGCCGTATGCCATTCGATCTATGTCGAGGACCGCCTCTATGCAGTTGACCAGGTCGAGGCGCGCCGCCGCAGGCGCATCAAGCGCAGAATCAACAGCTCGCGGAGCCAGCTTATGGATAATCCACCAGTGAGAGGAAGGGGCCAAGATGGATTACCGCGGGTCAAGAAGCAGGCGCAACAGCTCAGACAAGCGCAAGAAAGCACATCTAGAGCACAAAAGGCAGCCAGATACAACCGTGTTGGCCGTGCTATGCGTAGCCTCGGCCATCACCTTCGTGACCTGGCAACTGGAAGTGGTCTGCAGGCGGCAGCTGGAGACGCACCGCCTTCGTCACAACCGATCACCGACGATGAGGACGGCCACGGCTCGAGAAGTGGTGCACCAATATCTCCAAACAACCGGAGGTTTGCTGATATCAACAAGAAGCCCCTTACCTTCGAAAATAGGCCAGGAGGGGCCCGGACCGTACGCGACGAGGGCCCACATCCGGCTGCAGCTCACAACTTTGACACATTAGGCATGGGTGCAGTCCAGACACAGGATATGAATGCGGCATTCCTCCAGCTTGTGACCGGCGGACTCCCCAAGCCTGTCAGCACTGATCTGACTGCTGCTTTAACTGGCTGGTATGGCGAGAACCGCAACGATTACCGCCGCAGTCTTCGTGTTGCTGACAGTTTGGTCGTGAGCACATGGCGTGGTACCACATACTTTGTCGATACCGGGACGCTCCTCGATGTTGCCCATTACTTGCAGCTGTTCATGCAGCGCTGGAATCGCAGCAGAGACGCGGCACGATCAGCAGGAACTGGGTCTGATAATGACGGGAGCCATAGCGACATACAGAGCTGTGCCATGGCCAGTATGTACGGCCAATTGAGCCAGTTCGCCGATATCAGTGGCCTGATTTCGCGCTTGCGTGCCAATGCCAGCGTCATCCAGTTCAAATTCCAGGACACAGTGGCAGCATTTGTGTCTGATACATATGCGCCAGCGACGGGCGGACCCAATGTCCCATGTCTTTTCTACGTTGACTACAAGGACCGGATCTGGGTTTACTACCATCTGGACGAAATCGCCGAAATGGACGATGTCTATGGTGCGACATGGTTCCGCGAGGAGATTCTGAACCTGCAGCTGACCGATGAGAAGCGCGAGGAGATGCAAAAGAGTAATCAGAAGTACAACTACGACAAGCCATTTTCGATTGTCGACCTTGCGTATCGCCGCATCAACTTGGATCCATGGATGCCGCTTCCCGGCGATGATTGGTACAAGAAGCTTGTGTCCAGCAGTGAGCACCAGTATCCGTACTCGTCCAAGACATGGCGCAAGATGAGCTCTGTATGCAGGAAGCAGGACAGCCAGCCTTCAAACACGAGCGATGCGCCAAAAGAAAAGTCGGCGGCCAACTTCGAGATGCACCTGGAGGACCTGCGCACATTTGACACCAACCACGCACCGAGTGAGGTGAGCACGCAGGGACGCAGCACAGGCCAAATCAATGCCAATGTCACTGGCCGCTTTCACACATCGTTTTTGCCTGGGCCGTACATGTGCCCAATCTGGGCGGATATCGAGTCTGTCGACCTGTACGATGTTGGCTCGTGCTCGCTGATGGAGCTGGCTACCCCGGAGCTCCTTGCAGTCAAGGACATTTTCTGCGACGAGCTCGGGATTGATCCCGAGTCTGTCGACAAGAGAGTCAACTTGGCCACAATCCCCGGCTTGGCAAACTGGGTTCGCAGCTGTCTATACCTCCCGTAAAATCTTGGTATCCATGGATGAATGCTACTTGCAGTACGCTTCCAGTATCCATCGCGTATGGTCCTGCATATCATCAGTTCTGCGAGCACAAAGCGAAGCAACAGCGTGTTGCTTGGTGCCTAGCACGGCATGACAGAGCCCACGCTCAATAGAGTGCTTAGTGATGGACATATGATAAGGACCAACCTCTTACCAAAACACACTACCCTGCCTATATCATATCAGCTACTGCCTCTGTGACCTTGCTCGACTGGCTTGCAATCTTGAGCGATATTATAGTGTCGGAATTATTGTGCAAAGTAGTATCAGGAATAAATAGCTATTAAAATCTGCCCGGGGAAAGCAGCTCGTCGCTCGCAGTGTAGCTAGGCGAGAGCGAATGGCAGGAGAGTCAGCGTGAGGAGAAGCGCAGCACCTACACGTATCTTGCCCGCAGAGCTTACAGTATTCTGGACATTAGCTGCCTGCTGCATAGCAGCCCTCAGAAGATTGTAGTCGCTGCTGCTGGGTTCATCTCCAGGGCAAACAAAACGCTTGCATTCGTTAGAGTAGCAGCAGCTGAGAGTATCCTTGTCTGTTGTGCAGTTGACTAAAGATGTGTCGATGTTTTTCCACACCTGCTGCACAGTGCCATTGTAGGCGATCCAGTACGAGTTGCCGCCATTAGCCACCAGTGCACCTTGAGCACAGCCTGACATTATCTAGAAAATGAGTTGTTGACACTGTAAAAGAATATTGAAGAACAATAAAATTTCCTCCGCAGACCACGGGCCAGCTAGTCATTTAAACGTATCTCCAAACAGCCTTCCTAAGCGGGGTCTGCCTTGAAGCCATTCTCGAAAACTAGCAATTCCATTAGGATACAGGTTTTTTTTTTAAATACCCGTGCCACGAAATATTTTTGGCTGGTTAAAATCAAACATCAATTGTTGGGAATAAGCGCGGATTTCTCCTTTGCCGATTCCCAGAAAACAAGAAAAAGGGTGAGGAGTAGGCCTATTCCGTACAGAACTACTGCATAGAAGGGCATCGCCATGTCCTTATTTGGACCTTTACACCATGCGCATTTATGCCGTGTCGGCAACAAAAGGAGGACGTGTTGTATCTGGGCTGTGATGGGGCTCAGTCTACGTACTGTTCCTGGAAAATGTCTATATGTGCTATCCTTTGTATGTTGAAAGAAAGCGATAGGTGCTTGGCAAGGGCAATCCGGCCATTTTTGCATCTTGTTTGTTTATCGATTTTGATGCCAGACTGATGATCGACAGATGTGGCCCGGGACCACCAAAAGCGCGAATAGGTATCCTGGATGCCGCGCTGCTATTGCAACAAGCACGAGGCTGGCACGACCAGTCTGCAGACTGACGCCTAATAGCGGTCATCAATAGGTGGGCCGAATTAGACTTTACTAACATCGATACATATCAAGGGTTAGCGTAGTATATCCTTGGAATAATAGTTGCAAGAGCGCTAGACATGGAATCGCAACATCTATTAAAAGCTGGGTATTCAACAGCTTATAGTTTTGCGCTTTCACAAGCTTGAGCATATGCGATCAATTACCCCGCACCAATCGCATCCCCTTGTCGAAGCCAAGGTGGCCACCAGCAAGTACTATTGCTGGTTAAAAGGTGCACAAATCTCTGCAAGATATATGTATACCGAGATTAGATGAAGAGCAAACACTTACCCCAGTGCTGAGTATCCACAAGCCTATTGCCGCTCAGCACCACCTACCAAGGGAGAAGGGTGAGTGAACACAAAGAAAAGCCCGATATACCCTGCCACCACCAACAGGACCATGCCCAAAACAGAACTCAAGAGGATTCAGCCCATATATAACCTACTACCCCCAGGAACTGAACCCTAAGTACTAGAACCAGAGGTCCTAACACAAACAGCATGATTCCCTGCAGCTGGGGAAACATATAATAGCAAAAAACAAATACAGATACAAATACACATGATCAACCAGATACTTAGCTTTCGGTATGTAGGCGATAATTGTCCTTCAATGGCTACATCGATGGAAAATGTAGGTGTCGATAATAGCATTAAAACTAGTTATGAGAAAAATGACTAAAGGCCAGGTGCTGTGTGCATACGCTGACAGTCCCTTACACCATGTCCGGATGCTGTGATATTATCAGAGGCAACGATATCATGACATGCAATCATCATACATAGGAGTGCCATGGTCAGTGGTTGGACCTAAACAATGATAAAATGGGTGTTTGTTTGAAAGTACACCAACAGCATTAGAAAATGGGTACATAATGCTGTATTAGGAACCAGTAGCTCAAGAGCCATGTTGACTCTAGAATATATGCTGCCCTAGCGTGTAAAAGGTGTATGAATGTTAGAAAAGTAGGATCAGAAAGCTGTATGCAAAAAGTGAAGAGTTTAGTCGGTGTAGCTACCCCTCTTGCATGTTGCGCTGGGGAATGATAAAGTGCGACATAGTCGCAGCTAGAATACACAGCGGCGCAGGGAACAGGCTCATGATGTAGCCAAATATATACTTGGGTATGTCCCTGTTGTGGTAAATATATGGCATGCAGAGGCGACCCAAGATCACACTCATACCAGTAGAGGTGCTGAGCCATTGGAAATATGAAGTAGAGGCGTGTAATCACTGCGATCATAGCTTGCTGCTCTGGTATCGTTACTGGTCAACATCTGAGTGGCAAGACGAAATCTTCAAAAAGGGCAGCAGGTGGCGTCATTAATTTCTGTTCTATTTTTATCCTGTGGGGTTTTAACTTCATTCTATTTCGCAAACACGCAGAAAAGCTCTGGTACTACTTGTTCCCACATTTTATCACAACACTAGGACTATCATAACTACACCATATCTAAGTTTATTTGCATTATTTCGCTGTAGTGCTGCTTTCCGCCAACTCCAGGCACCAGCGCCAGTGACATCGCCAGTGACGGCACCCAGGATCAGGCACAACAGAGGGGCCTCTGGTCCAGCTACAAACAATGGCAGCTCGGATTCAGACTTCTAAAGGGCGATGTTATATGGCCGAGGCATGAGTGTCCCAATCATACCAAAAAAAAAATCGACGACGCTCGCGCAACAACTGAGATATATATATTATGTCCATGTCCTCATAATCTTCACTCCTGTTTCATAAGAACTCACTATAACCCCAATCACCCAACACAAAGAAAATGTTAGCAGTAGACCGACCTATACTTTATTCTGTGCTGTAATTATTCAATTGTTTTCTTGCGCTCCTTGCCAAGATCGACATGCCTAATTGCTGAACAGAATATGACCAATATTCCACTAAATGCAACAAATACGTAAAACGCACTGTGCATGCTGTCAGCCCAAAGATGGATGATTCTTGACTGGATGTCGCGCGGAATAGTATCACTGTAAATGTTGCGCTGGTCTCCAAGAGTAGACGCTATATCTGACGCATGCGTAGGGAATTCGTTCACCAAGCCGGTGATACCTGTCTTGATGCGGCTGTCCAGGATCGAGGTTATAATACTGGTAGCCAGGATTCCACCCAGTGTTCGAATGAAGGAATATGATGTCGTCACTGTTGCCATGTGCTTGCCAGCAACACTAGCTTGACAGACAAGCAGAGGTGGCTGAGACACGAAACCAACGCCGAGCCCAAGTAGAAATAGATAAACAATCCTTTCTCCAAAGCCAGTGCTCGCTTTGTACAGCAAAAGCAAGGACGCACCGGCTGCAGCAAGGACTGCACCAGCACGAATCGGTATGAGGAATCGACCTGACCTGGCGATATAGATGCCGCACAGAGGCGATGCCAACACAACCCCAAGGGCCATAGGAAGAAGATGCAATCCACCTGACGTGGTTGACGCGTGCTTGATCGCGAGTTCCCAGGCAGGAATGTTATTAAGGGCCCCAAATGATACTCCACCTATGGCAAACACTGCCATTAAGGCTGAAAGGACATTGCGGTTTCCTAGAAGACGTACTGGGATGATTGGGTCAGCAACAAAGCGGTACTCGACATATCCAAACACAAGCAGTACGACAGATCCGCAAATGAGACACGCCAGGACCTGCGCCGATGTCCACTCGTACTGTTGGCCACCCCAAGACAGTCCAAGCAAAATAGGAACCATTCCAATGGTGAACAGCACACAGCCGATAAAGTCAATGCGCTTGATTTTCTCCTTGAACGTTCCCTTGGTCTTTGGCAGCTTGAGCGTGAAGAAGATCAGGGCCATGGCAATGACACAGACTGGAATATTGATCCAGAACACGATTCGCCATGAAGCGTGCTCGACGATGCCGCCACCCATCACCGGTCCGACCACGGTGGCAATAGTGAATATTGCACTGAACACGCCAATGTAGTTGCCACGCTCCCGTTCGCTGAAAAGATCGCCTAATACAACCATCCCCAGACCAAGGATTCCACCACCGCCGACTCCTTGGATTGTGCGGCTGGCGATGAGCATGTTCATCGACTGCGATGCCCCGCAGAGAACGGAGCCAACCAAAAATATAGCGATACTGGTTAAAATAGTCTCAACGCGGCCAAGGATGTCGCTGATTTTGCCGATAATCGCCTGTACAATCGTCGACGATAGCATGTATGTGGTGATGATCCAGACAGCCTGGCCTAGCGCGTCAAAATCACTGGCAATTGGTACATAAATGCTGGCCATGATGGTTGCATCCAGAGCAGAAATAAAAAACAGCATGCCTATGCTAGCAATTGCGCAAAAAAGCTGCTTCTTGGAAAGCGTATATGAAGCCAAATCACCACCGGCTGCTTCGTTGGAAGCAACAGGACTACCACTGGCCGCTTCACTAGAGTGACTCTCTGCACCTGCACCAGCCTCAAGCGCTTTCTCGGAAATAGGCTGCTCGTTGATATCTGGCACAGCTTCCATAGCGCCCGAATCCTGCACAGTGAGGGTCTCGTCGAGAGCGGTTTTAGTCCCGGTCTCTGTGACAGACATTATAGATTAGATAACAAACTTGTAGGGGTGGAGAGTAAGGCTAAGTGCCAAATTTCTTTCTTTCCAGCTGATATGCTGGCATTCTGCCTACATGCAGTACCCAAGGGGCTACACGTCCCATGCCTTGCTTATATCTTTTGTGTAGAGTGCTGAGGCCGAGAAACTTGAGTCCAACAGAAATGGCAAACAACCACACTATACAGCTCCTAACATTGTTCACTCGAATAACGATTACTATATTGTGCGGACATCCAACAATCTGATTTCGCCACCAAACAAGTAAAATAGCACCCATGCAACAATGCTATATGCCGTTTTGTGGCGGTGGTTGCTTGGCCCATCCCTCTCCCTATTGTTGAAATGTTGACAACAGGGAATTAGCTGGCAGACATGCTAGTGCTCGCACAGGTTGAACCTTTGCTCAAAATACATGGAGGTAGCAGTCTTGTTGTTTGTCGAACGCTCGGTCATGAGTTTCAGGCGCTCTTCCCTGGCCTTTCCAAGCGACATGGGCCACTCAATGTGCTCAAACAAGCAGTCGTTGATTGTAAGAGGCATGCTGCCAAATCGTGGGAGCTCGAACAGCTTCTCAGCCCACCAGTCCTGCTGCTGCGGGGGAACGACCTTGGCTGATGGGATCCTCGTGGACGGATCGATGAGGAAAAAGGCAAGGATCTTGCGGTCGCCAGGCTTCGACAGATCCTTGAGTTTGAAGCCAGAGACCTGGTGCTGGTAGATATTTGGGAAGCAAATGCAGCGACCGCTGAGAGCCTCAACGCTGCCAAGTTCTTGAGACAACATAGCACCTAGATTGCCATCAACCTCAATGCCATATCCAAGCCTTATGCCACGCTTTGTCGCTATCGGGTTGGAATTTCCAATAACATAGTCTGCACATTGAGGATATGAGTGGGGTAAAATTAAAGAGGGCGCAAAGGAGGACACCTAAAATGCGAGTCTACCTACAGCGGCGATAGGGGTGGCTGATTTATACCTATGCATTTATATTCTTTGCTTCTTTGGCCTTTCGTTTACAGTACTGAGTATCCGGAATGAATATATTTCCGATGCAGCGACTATACGGCCAGTGTCCGATCCTGGGGCTTCACTGATAGATACGACCATTCTAGGCACCAAAGAGCTGGAGAAACCATCACCCACGTTTAAGCGAATCGGCTGGTAGAACACTATATTTGGGGTAAGAAATCTAAATTGACTAGGATAAGCCTCAGCAGACAGCAGCAGATGTATGAAGAACCGGTACCAAAGGTAGCCATCATGTAGCTAGCATATTTGTGTGACTGGTGTCGGTTTGAGCGTCGGTAGAACGTTCCCCCATATGGTTGCATTCATGGAAATGTTTCAGGACTGGCGTTGATCGCTGGAAGGGTCCAGACACTAACCGAGGCATGATGGGAAAGGAAGTACGAACACAATGAAGGACAGCTATAGACTTTAGGTGAACGTCAAAATGAGCATTGGCAGTTTCGCGTACCAGGAAGAGCTGGCAAATG